TCTCTTTTATTCTGCCAAAAAATGAGTATTTCGGGGTAACCCTGCAAAGAGTGGCCTCACATCAGCCTTCCAGCTGGGTGGCTAGCAAGCACTCCTGAGGGGAGGGGAGCATTGTCTTGGGGAATTCATATTTCCCAGGTAGAAACACAGACCCCACGTCTTAAGTGCGCTAATCACTGGGTAGTAGAGAGGAAGGAAAGGAGAGCAAGTGAAGCTGTGCAAGACAGCAGTGCTCCATGGCACTCCACCCACTCCATGGACATACTCGAGGTCTCAGGTCACCAGCCTTTAGATTTTGGCAGCTCCAGTAAGCATAAAATGAGGCTTAGATACAGTTCAACTTTGCAGTTCCTCTATCAGCAGAGACAGACAAAGGAGTTAACTGAGTACTGTGTCCAGTTCTGGTCCCCACAGTTCAACAAAGATGCAGGCAGGCTGGAGAAGATCCAAAGGAGGGCCATGAAGATGATCAAAAGGCTGGAGAACCTGTCCTGTGAGGAAAGACTGAAGGAGCCAGGTCTTTTCTCCCTGGAGAAGAGAAGGCTTGGGGTGGACCTCATCACAGTATTCTAGTACTTAAAGGGTGGCTACAAAGAAGACGGAGGCTCTCTCTTCACAAGAAGCCACACAGAGAAGATAAGGGCAACAGGTACAAGTTGCACTGGGACAGGTTTCATCTCAACATACGAAAGAAATTTTTTACAGTGAGAACAATGAATCACTGGAACAACCTCCCCATGGATATGGTAGAGTCTCCATCACTGGAAGTTTTCAAGATGAAACTGGACATGATGCTAGATGATCTCATCTAGGCTTCCTTTCCCACAAAAGGTTGGCCCAGATGATTTTCTGAGGTCTTTTCCAACCTGGGCTGTTCTGTGTTTCTATGAATTTGATGGACAGGGAGTCTCTAGGCAGGCTTTGCTCCTGGAGAAAATGAGTGTGGAAAAACACCTCTCAACATATCTGGCCTTCTGTGTTTCTTGCCTTGAGAGTATTACTAAGAGGTAAACGTGGATTCTTCAAGTAGTCAAGCATTGTAACAGGCTTCCCAGAGAGGTGGTGGATTCACCATCCCTGGAAGTGCTCAAAAAATGGGTAGACGTGGCACTTTGGGACATGCTTTAGTGGGCATGGTGGTGTTGGGTTGATGGCTGGACTGATGATCTTAGAGATTCTTTCCAATCTTAATGATTCCTAGCTTTTACTTTCATTATAAATAATCCAGCCACTAAGCCAGGAAACATGAAATTGCTACTATACCCTTAGTTGGTTTAGTGGTGGACTTGGTAATGTTAGGTTAATGGTTGGACTGGATGATCTTAAAGGCCTTTTCCAACCTAAACAATTCTATGATTCTATGAAAAGAGCATTGTGCCTTGAGACAAGGGAGGCACCTACAGTAGATGTCCATCAGCAGCAACAGCTTGCCAGTACAGTTCCCTCTTCTTAGCTAGGTCCCCCACTTTGAGCCTCTTGTACCTCTTTCCAGGTACATGTGTTGAAGTAGCCCAAGTGTTCCTCTACAGGATTATTCTGACTTGTTTTCTGAAAATGGTCTGTATCCTGTGGTTTAATATAATGATAGTTATTCACTATACATTGAAAGAAAACATCTCTACATGAGCTCTCTTCTAGTTGTTTCAGTGGAAAATTAGTCATTTGGAGGAAACATGAAATCACGAGTTACACAGGCCTGCTGTTTCAGCTCCTTCCCTCTACATTCATCCTAAGGAGTTTCAGAAAGACTAACTGGAGTTTTCAAATCCCAAGGCTGATGGGAGGTTAGGATGTCGCCCATGCCCTTCCATGACCTAGGCTAGCTGCACTTCAGAATCTTCCTATGCTGGAGATTGTTGCTGTCCAAATAAAAGCAAATTTCTCTACAGTTTATTATTAGCACGAGGCCCCTCTTTTGGTCCAATGCTTCCTAGCAACCTGAGTGTCTGTTTGTTAGTTTGCTTTTCACAAACTGTTATCATAAGTCCATGGAAACAGAGTACTTGGTGAATTAGCTGATACCCTTGAAAAGGTAATGATAGGAGCAATGGCCAAGCCCAGAAAAGGCAGAAGGCACCTTGCCATGCTAACGCAATCCAGAACCCAAATGCCTGCAGAGCGTGGGGTACCCAAGAAGGGGTATGTGAGTGGGGAGCTGCCTGCACCCTGGGGATGGTGCAACCAGCTTGTCCCTGGGCTGGATACCCTCCCCATGGGGATGCAGTGAGGGGTTTTCAGGGCTGACAGCCCTGCCCTGTCCCCTGGAGCTAAGTGTGTCACTGCCTCCTTTTAAAGATGAAGCAATGAACAGGGGGTTCCTGCAAAGCTCTGAACTGAGCTTGGGCACCTTCTTTCCTGCTTGGGGTTCCAGTTCTTCCATTCAGCATCACCCGCTCCCCTGGCTCAGCTCCCTCTGGCTCTCGAGGGTCCCAAACCCACAGCTTCCAGAAACCTTACGTGGCAAGTTATAAGTTGTTTCAGGGACTCTCATTCCTTCCTGCTCCATTTTAATCATCAGTGATTAAAGACTAATGAGGCTGGAAGGAAAGCATGCAAGCAGTGCACAACTGAACAGGGGCTGGGGCACTCACTGGGAAGAGCAGCGTTCAGTCCCTCCGTCAGCTACTACTGCATTAAATAACCATAGCAGGGATGGAGTCCAGCTCTTTGCTTTCCCAAGTCATAATGTTAAATCACCAAGCCCGGGTTGTCTCTGTTTGCTCTGCCTGGCCCTATCAATGTTTAATTATGCCATCTGTGGCCTGGCAGCTTCAACAGGAGAGAATGAACTCATCCTCCTCCCCTCCTGAATAGCCTAGGGTCCGAGGTGTGCCTGTGCCTGAGGAATGGAGTGTGTGGGGCCTGAAGCTTTCTGTGCTTGGAACCAAAACAAATTCAGGTTTTAGCATGCTTGGTTGTGGCCCTTGGTGCAGAGGGTAGAAGAGGGTTGCCCCCTCATCCCACTGTTTTTGGTGCTCCCCTTGCACAGTGTTCTCCCTGAGCACGCCTGTGGCACGGGGCCCCTGCTGCGAGGCACACAGCAGGATACCAAATTTATTCATTGGGGCAGGATGCAGATATGGCCCCAAAACTGTCTCTTCCTAAAAGGGCTAAGACAACACATCATAAAGTATGATATTTATAAATCCCCCCAAACTCCCATGCTATCCTATTAGTCTTTTTGAGGGCTTTTTCTTCAATATTGAAGCATTTGCCTGATAGTAACAAAGACAGTAAGATAACTGTTATTTTTACAGGGATATAAAAAATGATATATTCTTGAACCTGTCTAAAACTTTCCTAAAATAACATTTTTCCTGTACTGAGAGTGGCGTGTTCCCAGGACATGATGTAGTGAGGTGTACATGCTCTTTTGCACTCTTTAGGACTAGCCCACATAATTCAGTTGTAGTTTTGACATCCATGAGTGATGCACCTTTCCCACACTTGTGCTGAAACAACATTAATACCATTCCAGTCTGTATTTTGTATCTTGCAGACAGGTGCAAAGCTTTTACTTAGGGTTACAAAATGTTGTACAGTGTAAGCCCCTACAGCTAGCTGTTTATAATTGGGCTAGTTCTAAAATGAATGGCATGATCTTTGCCCCAAGTTCATTTTTTCTTTTATTTTCATGTTATTTTATTTTATTTAAAAAAAAAGATTAAAGCATCTTTGCCATTTCCTGAAATTATTTCCTTGAACATTTTAAAAGTAGGTGGTTTTGTAGAGCTGTGATGCCTCTGTGGTACTGCGTAAAGATTTAAGATTTGCTATAGGGATAACATGGAGTTCCATTATGAACACTGTGGAAAAGCATGAAGTGTTGGTCAGTTCATAAATCCTAAACAGCCATTGCTTATATAGGGGCAGGATTTGTAAGGGATTTTTTCTAAACTATCTGAACCTTTCCTTAGCCCTTAATTTACTTCCCAAGTTCACACGGGCTGAATGTTGGAAGGGCAGGTAAGAGAAAAATTGGTGCCCATAGTCTTCTGCCCCCCATCCCTTTGGGCTTGTGGGAGAGATGCTCCCCAGGGAAATCCGGGAGCTCCCTCATGCCCACTGAAAACTTGTACCTTTTGCAGCCCCTCCCTGGATCATGGCCTTATAAACCTGCCTTGAAGGACAAGCAAGTGCCCTGCCCCCGTTTTACAGATGGCTTAACAGATGTTGGCAAGTATCATTAGAAACAGAGCTCGGGATTAAGCATTTGTCCGCAGCATAGCCCTAAAATGCCCTTTATTCATAGCCAGGTGGCCTTGCAGAGCAGTCTCATCATGCCCAGATGCCAGCTTGTGCTGCCTGAAGCTGGGGGCTCCCACCCAGGGCAGGGAGCAGGAGCTGGGACCCGCGCTCCCCTCGGCCACAGGAGCACCACTGCTCCCAGGTACCCCCCAGCTCCAGCATCAGCAGTCCTCCTCTGCTGCCAGGAGGGTTTGCTCAGCCTCTTTTGGTCTGATGCCAGTTATGGTGGTTAGCTGGGGTCTGCAATGTTTCTAGGGTTTTGTTTAGACAAACAAAAGTTAGAAAACTTTATTTTAGAAGTTACTTCAAGAGAGTATTTAATCACAAAGTCAGGTAGGGAATACATGATTCGAGGCTGTCTGAGAAATATTAGTTCAGCCCACTTGTGCTGCTTGTTCTACTCATCTCCTTACCCCAGTCAGAGAACAGCATGGGCAGTGAAAAAGATGAAGTATATGAAGAGTGATGATGTTCCCTGGCTATGGTTGCAACTCAGATAAAAATTGAAGCATTCAAATGTAATGGCAGGCAGGAATACAATAATTAATGCCTACAAGGATGACATTTGGATTGCACAGATCATGTTTACCCTGATATCTCCCAAAGTTTTTATATTTGCATTGGCAGCCTGGCATTCTTCTAATTTATTCTATTTTTGTGTATGCAGTCCATACATATGAAATGGCCCTATTTTCCCTGTTTTCCCTGTTGGTTAATGGGTTGGCTTATGGTAGTGATTTGCAATGTTACAGGCAAGGGAGGATGTGATCCACATGCTGAAGACAGAGAAAACCAAACCTGAAGTTTTAGAAGCTCATTATGGATCTGCAGCTCCAGGGAATGTGCTCCGAGTCCTACACAGGGATGCCATCCTTGCCCAAGAAAAGTCTATAGGAGAAGATGTCTATGAGAAACCAATTTCAGAGGTAATAACTTCTTGATTTACAATATTATGTCTGTGCAGGGGGAATCCTAACCAGAAGTGAGACTCCACATATTTCAGACGTGTGCAAAGCACACAAGAGGATAACACAGCATTTGTACAAATGACAAGAAATCGAAGAAAAAGTGAATATTCTTGTTCACTCAACTGCAGAATAAATTGTAAGCAAAGTCACTGGGTTTGAACACAAACCCAAACAAAATAAAGAGCTTGTATGCTCCTTAGGGCTGGTGCTGTTAAGCAAGAACAAAATCTTTGGGTGTTATATTTCTGTTTTTTAAATTCCTTTCAATTATAGGCTCCAACCTCTACTGCTCACAGCACTGGTAAGCACTCTTTGATTTTCTTGGCATACTAGATCACTATCACATGGGTAGCTGGGAAAAGGAGACCTTCAGAGATTGGCTTTGACCATATTTATGGGAACATAAATGCGTAATCATTTTACATCACTTAAGCTCTAGGACTCCAAAGTCAGTTCAGCCCCTAAAGGAGACCTGTAGGACTTGATCTCTTGCTTTAAACTCTTAAGCAATAAACGAATGTAGAATAGACCCGGGAACATCTGAGGCCAGTGTGAATGCTAAAATAAGCAGCCACTGCTCATGTTTATAGTTTCATAACAGTGCAGAGCATGGAGAAAAAGAGCATGCAACAACATACAATATAATATACTGTAGTGCCTGTCCAAATCTTCATAGTTCTTCCTATTAGAACATTTAATTTTTTCACCAGGAATTGTGTGTACCATGGGATATCTTTATACTGTGTATTCTTATTGAAGCGTCTTCTGGAATTTTCAGGATGATAGTAAATAAGGAAAGCAAACAGTAGCATGTGGGAGCATGCATGAAATACTGTTGAACAAGATTAAGAGAGCTTAGCAGGGCTTTTGCCTAAAGAAGCTGATAATTTGACAGGGACCTCTGTGTAAAACTTTTGTCATGTGTAGGTCCACAGGGGTTATGCTGGAGCTAAAATAGGGTGGTGACAAAATTTCATGAGTGCAAAAGATCTGCTCTCAAAGGCTGAACCCAACCTGTCCTTTATAAAATGCAATGACTGTTTTACTTTGACTGCCATGGTCAACTTCTGGAGAGCAAATCGCTGTGGTCCTCCTGCCCTCTTAATTCCCTCCGTTTGCTGAGGCACCCTGTGAAACAGCAACTGCCCGGTGCAGCTGGGGCCAAGGAAGATGCAATTCATGCAGGGTAAGGGCTGGGGGTGGGCAGAGCAGGCTCTGCCAGCCACTGTGCCAGAGGCAGGCAAGCAGAGAAGTGCCATGGCTGCGGGCTGCTTTGGCAGGGAGGAGGATGGAGTTTGTCATCTTCTCCCAAGAAACCCTGAAAGGAGCAACGTGAATAGCCATGGTGGCTTCGGAGTGCCCTGGCAACTTTTTAGACACACCTCCCTGGCCTTAGTGTTTGTTTGAATAATAATTGGCATATTAAATTAATAAAAAAAAACCCGGAAGACAAAAAAGGCAAAGTGTTGCTAATAAAGAAAGCAGAAGTTCTGTCAAAAAACAGGCTGAGGGGAAAACCCCAAGGCTTATAACAAATTGTATTTGGTAATGTAAAACTGAATCTATGCTGAATCTAAATAGTTTAGACTTTTTATCTCAGCAGTCCTACAGGTGCATTGAAGATGCATAACTCAAATTTCAGCCTTGAGCTTACATCTTATGCTCCACATGTAGGTGCCTAGACCCCATATAGGTGCATGAACTCAGGCTCCCAGCGTCTGAGGGCATGTACCCCGCCCTGGCATTTGCTACAGCTTTTCCCATGTGAAATGAAGAAAGTGTGCAGAGCACCTCACCACAGGGGAAATTCTGCGCTGCAACGATATTATTTGTCACCCTAAAACTAAGCGAAGTTCTGTCCTTTGTGTATCTGAGAACCGTGCAAATGTTTATTGCAAACGTGCCGTCCAAAGAAATCATTACTTTTACAGGACAGTTACTCTTACTTCTAGTCACTGCTTTATGTAAAGCCCAAGACATAAAATTATGGGACTTGCATTTACCAAACACAACATTGTTGGTTAATAAATCAGATGAAGTAAGCAAGGAGACCTTTAAAACAGTCTATTCTTTTCTACAATCCAGCTGGACAGACTTGAAGAAAAGCAGAAAGAGACATATCGGCGCATGCTGGAACAGCTCCTGTTGGCAGAAAAGTGCCATCGCCGCACAGTTTATGAGCTAGAAAATGAGAAACATAAACATACAGATTACATGAACAAGAGCGATGACTTTACCAACCTCTTGGAACAGGAGCGGGAGAGGTGAGTACCTGAGACAGTGAAAAGAATATCCCCGGTGTCCCAGTACTTGTCGGTTCACCAGTGACATGGTCTGGTATTTTCTGTGTTTAAATGACACTAAACTCATGTTTAAACCATTTGTAAATGTCAGTCTACTCATGTTATTAGTAAGTACATTACTCTGCAAGTCTAGAGCTGGAGGAATACCATTGAATGTTCCTGTAGTGTGCGCTTGAATTAAGAAAAGAATTTGTTTTGAATTACTCATGCCTGTTTCGGGTTCACCTCCTGGTAGTTTTTGATCAGATGTTATTTATGTTGGCTAAGTTTGGGACTCGCTTGCTTAGCTAAGTGCCACATTTTGTGAAGGACGGGGCACTGTTTGTCACAGCAGGAGAACAGGGTAAGGAAAACCACAACACACATTAGGATACTGGCACCCAAGTGGTAGGGACTTTGCCATGCCCTTTGCATTTAGGCTTGCAAAGTCACAAACTATTTGCATGATTTTTCGTATTTTTGAAGACACGTGCCTCAGGCAAGGTCTATGTTCCCCTGGAAGAAAAATATTTTCATGTTTTATAAAACGTGCCCAGCCTGCCATGGACTATCTGCAGCGTTTATCTCACAGGCTCATACACTCCAGGTTTTTTTCTTCAAGTGTTTGTCCCCCTCGTGGGAGTAATTTGTTCTTTGAGTCTCTAAGAAAAGAAAGAGCACCTACCTTAGGTGAAGAATAAGCATTCAGTAACAGCCTCAGTTTTTCAATATGAAATTTTCATACTCATACCAAACTTCTTGAAATGTATCCACAGTTGTTTTTTTTTTAAAAAAAAAAGCTCTGAGAAAAATACTTAAGGCAAATTCAAAGAAGAAATGCTTTTGAGGAAACCACAGTCTGGTGGCAGACATTTGCAAAAAGCCAGGAGCTAAATTGTTTAGTGTATTTCCTGAGCTCAGTTCAGCACCAGCTTTGAGTAGGTGGCACATGAGCTGCAGTGACCATATTTCCTGGTTTAATAGCTTCTGGGTTTCTGTCTCTCCGTTTTCCTGGGTTGATTGGCAAACTTTAAAGGACAAAAATGCTTCTGCGTCTTAGCAATTTGATTCTCTTTTCATAAAATAAAAGATTTGTTGTATTTCCAAGTAAGGAGCAATTTCACATCTGATTCTCATAGACGCTGGTTTTTGTCTGTGCTGGATATCTGTGTATGTGTGGACATGCAGGCAACTAAAATGCTACAAAAGTAAAAGTGGTATTAAAATACCATTTACATTTGTCTTTACATTTTATATTCACTTTAATTTGACAATTGTTGCTGCCTTATTATTCCAGCTCAGCTTGTGAAGGCCACTAAAAAGCCTAAGATCATGACCTGTTTTGAACTGACTTCCTTCAATTAATTGATTAAAAAGCTTTCTGTCTCACATTACTACTGCTGAGATATCAAGTCCCATCTCTGTGGGCATTTTCTCATATGCTTCCTGCTCTCGTGTCTTTTAAACTTCAGGTTTTCTACATTCTACAGTTTTTGGAAAAACAGCAACAAAAAAAAGATAATTTGAGTTTGAAGTTCTATTAAAAGCAGATCTTTAGGAGCAACTAAATCGCCTACTTTAGTTGCAAGTGCCTCTGTACTGGTGACTGCAGGGGAAGAATTGCAGTGCTGAAGCCCTTTTGGTTTATTTTGAGTGACACCAGAAAGTTGATGTTTGCTATTTAATCCACTTTGTTTGTCTAAGGCACTAATGAGAAAATTCGTTTCAAGTTTAGTAGCGACCAAGCAGAAAGAACATGGCACGTAGCTAAACACAGAAAACCAAGCATGCGCATCCCTCCCTCTTCAGGGTCCTCCTCCCAGATCACTTGCAGAACAGATTAGCAAAATCAGGATGGGCAGAAAACCATTCATTAGTGTATAGTCTTAAATGATCTCAACTCCTCATCTTTGTTTGCTGAGTGCACATGAAACTGAGGCTGCACCCACATCTTTGTATGTATTAGAAACTGGAAGTAGTATTGTTTGAGGGCTGTATTCATGGAGAAAGAGAAGGTGATGGGATGACTTCTCAGGAAAGCCCCACAGTGGCAATCACCAATAGATTTTTGTCAAAAAGAAAGGTTTTAGTGGAAAGATTAAGTTGCAATAGATTAAAACATACAAAAACCTCCCATACTCACTCAATCTGTATATTGGGACACAGAACTGACCTGCCCAAAGGCATTTCTCAGGGTCCTGCATAGACATTCTTTTTTTGGAAGTACCACTGTTGTTCTTTGAGGCCTGAGGGTTATTTTATTAAGAGCTAAGCAGACTTGTAGTCTCCATGAAAAAGAAAAGGGACACGGAGGTGAACTCTGCCCGTCAGCCACTCTGCTCCACTCACAGTTGTAATGTTAATGAGACAGGGTGAGCCAGAGGAAGAACAGTCCTGTGGGATGGCCATCTCACAGCAGTCTGGTACAATGACAGCAGTAATAATTTCTGTCCTGGATCTAAGTAATTTAAGTAATTTCTTTCCTCACAGTATTTTACCAATCTTTCCTAATCGTTGCTGTCCACACTAACTTTTAGAGGCCACATCTGCTTTTGCTGTCCTGTGAAAGTTTGAACAAGATAAAAAGGGAAATTCCTTAAGAGCAGAAATATGCCTTGGTTCTAATGTATTTCTAGTACTCTCCTAATGTATTTACTTTGGAATATTTTTTTACATACACTTTCATACATTATCTCTAATCCATCCACAACAACATGATATGAAAGCAAACAGTCCCTCTGAGGGACTAATTATTAGGTCAGCCTTGCACAGGAAGGAAGTAACAGGAAAACATGATTTGTCAAGAATAATTATGCATGAAAAGTGTAAAAAAGAGAAAATTGCACACAGGGATATTCAAAATGTAGACAGTTAGGAGGGGTAAATGGAGAGAGCTGGAGGGCCTAACTGTTGGTGTTGGCTCCACAACACCAAGTGCAACTAAGCTGTAGAAAGGTTGTGGAAAAGGCTGGCATGTTACAGGAAAAGAGTAGTGACAACCATTTGCCAGACAGAGATGAACAAAATCTGGTACTTTTAGTGGAAGGTGCTTATACAGACATGGTGGCTGAAGTGTTTTGCAAATTTCCCTGTAGTATGCTATAATCATATCTAAAGATGGGAATGTTTTGAAAGTTAGGGACAGTATTTTCTGTTTTTACCATTTGACCAAAATTCCCCTTTTCCACACTTGCCCACCTCAGCTGCTGTTCCTGTAGCATCAAGTTGCCCTTGGGCATCCCCTATCCCTGGGAGTGCAAAAGCAGCCATCTTCCTGGAGCCTCCTGATGAGTCTGAGGAATAAGGAGAAGAGCTGGAGGCCCCTGGGCCCCCTCAGAGACCTTTGGTGGCTGACGGTGGGGTAAGGAGTCTTTGGTCTGGCAGGTGGAAAACGAGGGCTCTGACTGGAGCTGCACTGACAACATTGCTTGCAGTGGACACCTGAAGAGCAGGAGACCATGCAGCAGCACCCACAATGATAAAATTAGTCCTCCCAGCCACAGGCACCCTCCTGATCTTCAGCCATGCTTTGGGGAGTGAGCTGGTGGCATGAGCTCGGGCACCAGCTGAGCTGGCTGCAGCTAGACCAGCTATTGGCACTTCCCTACCCCAAAAAGCTCTTGTGTAAAGCAGGCTTAACATGAAGTGGTACTTGGTTGTTCTCTGTCCTGCCTAGTCCCAGCCCTCCTGCCTTCCTCTTTAGGGAATGGGGAGGGAGTGGGAGAGAAATCTTTAGGATCAACTATAAACTTTTCTATTTGATCAGCAGGGCTTTTTCTTGTGGTCGAAAAGGGGAGAGCTTTGTGTAACCTCAACACTGCTTTGACCTCTCGATTGACCTAGGAGATGAGGTTTAAAATCCTGACATTTTTAGAGGTGCTAATCTCTGAACAATTTTTCTTGTACTCTTCTTTTAATCCCATTTGTTGACAGCACATTTTGCTACTATTAAAAGCACTGGAAAGCTCCCATAGATTTTAATGGTTCAGAAACAGGCTTGTGGTGAGGACCGCTGAGCCAGTCCTGCAGGACAGATGGCAGAAAGAGCCTGAAAGCCTTCAAAAATGGGGGGAGGAGGGAGTTTCTTTCATATGCATGGGACGTGGTTTGCCGAATAGAGGGTGCGATGTAGCAGAAAGGCTTTGTTGGAGCTGTTAAGGGAGATGTGTGCAACTGCTTTGTGAGTAATTTGATCATTTCCAGCACGATCCCTGAGACTGCTCAGACTTTTACCCCACCACACAACATGTCAGTAAATACACACCCAATATCTAATGTAAGTCTGAAAGCATCGATATTATGTTTAGTCACATTTTATTGTAAGACTTCACTTAAGTGATGAGGATTTTAAATTGCCTCTTGCTTTCCTTGCTGCAGCTTCAAATTATTCTTCACAACCACAGCGACAGTGTTCCCAGTGCACTGGAGCATTTCGCATTTTCCTCAAATGCAAGGCTGAGGATTCAGCCTGTACTTCCTAAGCAGTGCCCTGCTAAATCTGGTTTTAGTTAAACCCTCTTTTTGAAGTACATGGCCATAATTAGATCTGCTTAGAGGAGACAGCAGGACTGTGACCCCAGATCTTTCCTCCACAAAGTTTCCTTTCAGTCTTCGAGTAAAATTGTCTCCTCTCTGCCTCCCCCATTGCAGCACCCCCAGCAAGGAATGCACTGGCAAGTCGCTCGGAGGTCTGTGATAATACATTCCTCTCGGCTTCGGTCATCCTGGCACCGAGATGCTCTTGGCTGCTCTGCTGGTGATGTAATTCTGGGCCCGCATCACCTGCAAAGGAAACTGATCTGCGAGCAATAAAGCACACAGCCGTCTTGAAACAAAAATGGGAGTGTTGATGTTAGCAAGTTTTTTAAATCTTTTTTCTTCCCTTTTTGCTTTTCTGCTTTTATTACCAAAGCTCCCTTTCTCCCTTTTCCCACGAGACGGCAGCACCAAGCCTTTCATTGGGAAGTGCTTGCCTTTTTGTTTCCC